ATTCAGAATGGGTCAGAACTGAAAAACACAGCAAACCAGCTATGATCTGAATCAGATAAAATAAAAGCAGATCTGAAAAAGGTTCAGTTCAACGTCCAAAATCAAACATTTATGGACGAAAGGCCCCAAGTGGAAGAGTTTAAGTATCTCAGGGTCTTGCTCACGAATGAGGGAAGAATGGAGCGGGAGATTGACAGTTGGATTGGTGCTGCGTCTGCAGTGATGCGGGTGCTGTACTGGTCTGTCATGGTGAAGCGGGAGCTGAGCCAGAAGCTCTCGGTTTACCGGTCGGTCTACGATCCTACCCTCATCTGTGGTCATGAGCTTTGGGTAGTGACCGAAAGAACGAGATCACGGATACAAACGGCTGAAATGAGTTTCCTTCACAGGGTGTCTGGGCTCTCCCTTAGAGATAGGGTGAAAAGCTCAGTCATCCGGGAGGGACTCAGAGTAGAGCCGCAGCTCCTCCATGTCGTGAGGAGCCAGTTGAAGTGGCTCAGGCATCTGGTTAGGATGCCTCCCTGGTGAGGTGTTCCGGGCCCGGATCCCACTGGAAGGAGGCCCAGAGGAAGACCCAGGACACGCTGGAGGTTCTATGTTTCTCGGCTGGCCTGGGAACGCCTTGGGATTCCCCCGGAGCCACCAAGTGGCTGGGGAGAGGGAAGTCTGTGTCTCTCTGCTTAGGCTGCTACACTTGTGACCCCACCCTGGATAAGCGGCAGAAAACGGACGGACGGACTACTAACTGGATGGGTGTTCAACAAAAGAAAGAAGAAAAACAAAGTGTTTGCTGAGTTTGTGTTGAACGAAATATTAAAACACAACAGGTCAACATGAAACCCAAAAAACCCACTTTGTTTAAGTTGTTCAAAAGGAAAAAGCCTGCTTCGCCCATCACCTCTCTTTTAACGCATTAATTCATACCTTAGCCTTGAACCCAACCCCTGACCACATAACAACATATCTCTACAAGTATAGTCTACTAGGGCTTATAACTAGGGTAAGAATTTGGTCATATGATACATATTACAACACAGGGGTCACGATATATATCACAATATATTGCAAAACTGTAAGCAAAAAAATGTATTGCCCTTTTATTTTAAAATAATCTAAATGTAACAAACTCAGTTCAATCTAACATTTGAGCTAGCTTTATACTCTCAGGCTCTTCAGGAGTACAGAAGCCAAATGTCTGGTTGACTGCTGCGAACTGGTGGTTAGAGGCTAAAATAAACACTTGCATGAACGTTTACATTTTAGCCTCATAAATGTTCATTTTGTGCGGCCCTCAGCTTGCTCCAGGAACCAGATCACAGACAGGTGTGTGTGTGTGTGTG